TAAATGGCTTTGTGGTGTTTAAGTGTTTATAAAGATTTTTGGTGTTACCTCAAGAGGTAGCAACAGCAGCTAGGCACGTCCTGTACAATACATATCGTTGCACAGCATCTTCTTTTTTATAGACAAGATAATTCCAAACAACGGACGTGCTGCCTCTCTTTGGTACTAGTCTTGTAGATGCATCAGCTTCTGTCAAGCCTGACACCATTGTGCAACCGGTTAAAGCACAATGTCGACTTCTCCCACTCGCTGCTCTGTTTTGCTCCACTCCGCTCACTCGCAAGTGACATAACCAGATCACGTGACCAGTCAAATTGCAGCCTTTGTGATTAGAAAATCTTGTTTTATCGTATTGCAGTATTATTGCAAATGCAATTAATTGTTCAGCCCTAATAGATCTAGATATACATAGATAGATAGTTGGCTGAAAAGCAAAAGATGGTGGCGCCGGGTCCGGTTGCATTGTCTCCCAGCAGTCTGGATTCCTATTTTACTTGGAATTCATGCAACCTTTAGTTATACCAGTTAGTCTCACTGAGCCTCAGGGACTCATTTACAAGAGAGACCTGTTTATTTTTGTTATTGTCTTGTTATTCTGTTAATTCTTCGACTCCTCACCGATTGAACAATAGAATAAGTTGTGATTCCAGGACCTTATTGGAGCTGCACAAATTCAGTGGCCATGGATCAGTAAACTTCAGTCACGTTCTGACGGTCATGGGCACTCATTTTGAAGCGAAAACTCAACGCGCGTTGGAGATTAGCCTAGCCTATACTGCTACTGCTAACGCCTTCTGGACTCGAGCTTTGCGTAACATCTACGTCACCACACACTTTCTTAGTTGTTGCACCCTTTTCTGTTCGGGTTGAAACTGAAGCGGCCGTTTCAACCCGAACAGACAAAGAAACGTGTCAATGAAACAGGGTGGTGGTGTATACATCTACATAAATTATAACTAGTACATGAATGCTAATATAATCTCCAACCACTCCTCTGTTGACATTAAGTTTCTAACTGTTAAATGCAGACCTTTCTATCTACCATGGGAGTTCACCTCTGTTAGCATCACAGCAGTGTATACCTTTCCCCAGGGCCAACACCAAGAATGCTCTAAACACTCTACGATTCCATCAATGACCTGAAAAGTTCACAACCAGGTGGAGTTTTATTGTGGTTGGGGACTTTAACCAAGCAAAACTGAAAACGGTTCTTCCTCAGTTTCTTCAGTTTGTATGCTTTGCAACAAAATTATGGGCAGAAACTTGAGCCACCACATTTCTGCCCATACTATGGGCAGAAAGTTTCTGCGCGTACAAGATGAGTGAATACTCTGGATCTGATCTACAGCAACATCAAAGAGGCTTTCAAGTCTTTCAAGAGGAGGTTAAGGAGCAATGAGTGTAGAACCACTAGACTGAGGAACAGCTTCTACCCTGAAGCTGTTAGACTCGTGAATCTCTAACCAGAATAATCACTGTAAAAAAAAACTCACATCATGTTGCTGCTGATCTGTTTCAATGTTGATGTGTTCATTCATACTCATCTTCTCACACAGACTCACGTTCGTGCTGCTGTTCGGCGTATTGTTTTTTTATGCTACTAGTGCTTAGTGTGGTTTCAGTTAAAAAAATTCTTATTTCATATCTTAGATCTTATTACTGTTTTTCTTTTACATTTTAATACTTTTGTTGGATGTAATTGGGACCCTGTGTATACTATTTCGTTCCACCACGTGTACCACATGTGGTGTGTATGACAAATAAAGAACCTTGAATCATTGAAGCCAACAACACCCCACCTAGGCTCATCAGATCACTGCTCTGTCATGCTAATTCCAGCATACTGGCCCATGCTAATCAGAGACAAACCATCTGTAAAACAGGTACAACTCGAGTCTGGTCAGAGGAAGCTATGGAAGCTGCTCAAGACTGTTTTGAATGCACTGACTGGGACATGTTCAAAGCAGCAGTAACACACAATCAGAACTTATGTGTGCATGAGTATACAACATAGGTGACTGGATACATCCAGAAGTGCATGACCGGTGTCAGTACCATCAGAACTTTCAGATCCAGAGCCAACTGCAAACCATGGATGATGGTTACAGTGCAGGTCATGCTGAAAGTACGGAACACCGCGTTCAAGTCTGATGACCACACTGCTCTCAGGACAGTCAAAGCCAACCTGAACCATGCCATAAAGGAAGCAAACTGTGCCCATGCTAAGAAGTGCAGAGCTTTTTTCATGATCCAGCCAACACCAGCAAGTGGCAAGGCATCCAGACAATCTCTAACTACAAGGACAACAAAATGCCTTGCAATGACAATACAGGGTTCCTGAATGAACTCAGCAAATATTTTGGCAAGTTTGAGGCGAAACAACTCCCCAGCAATGAAGGAAACCTCACCACCTGACGAGCAGTCCCTGAGCATCAAAACAGTGGAGGTCTGCAGGACACTGAAAAACCTGAACACCAGGAGAGCTGCAGAAACTAACAGCATACCAGGTAGAGTACTCAAGGAATGTGCAGACCAGCTCGACCCTGTGCTGACAGACATTTTTAACTCCCTGAAGCACACCATCGTTCCCTCCTGCTTCAAGGCAGCCACAATCATACCAGTGCCTAAAAAACAAACAATAGCCAGCCTAAATGACTATTGCCCCGTGGCTCTTGCGCCCATCAAGATAAAGTGCTTCGAACGTCTTGTTAACCTTACTCCCTCCTTTGATCCATTCCAGTTTGCTTACTGCTCCAACCACTCAACAGAGAATGCCATGGCCTCAGCACTCTACCTGAGCCTGCAACACTTGGAGGAGAACAACACCCATGCACGAATGCGGTTTGTGGACTTCAGCTCAACTTCAACACGATCATCCCACAGCACATGGTCAGCAAACTGGCTCCACTAGGCTTAAGCACCACCTTCAGGAACTGGATCCTTGACTTCCTCTCTGACAGAGTACATTCAGTACAAGTGGGGAGGAACACCAACTACGATAACAGTCTGAGCATAGGCGTCCCCCAGGGCTGTGTTCTGAGTCAGCTTCTCTTTACCCTGATGACCTACGACTGTATTTCCAGGTCTGAGACCAAGCACACCAATAAATATGCAGAGGATACCATGGCCGTGGGCCATATGAGCATCAACAAGGATCAGGCATATCGGGAAGAGGTGGCACACCTTATGAACTGGTGTGGGTAAAATAACCTGGTTCTGAATGTCAGCAAAACAAAAGAGCTCATTATTGATTTTAGGAAAACAAAACAACATCACACTCAAATAACACAGAGGTGGAGGTGGTGGAGAGCACCTGGAGGTGCACGTAACCAATTGGCTGTCTTGGTCAAGAAACACTGGGTCCCCTAGTAAAGAAAGCTCATCAGCGTCTGCACTTCCTCCGTAGGCCGGAGAGAGTATACCTCCCACCCCATGTCCTCATCACATTCTACAGAAGAACCATCGAGCATCATGACCAGCTGCATCTCGGTTTGGGAAGGAAGCTGCCTGGTTGCAGACTGGAAGGATCTGAGGGATGTGGTGAGAACTGTGGAGAAGATCATTAAGATGCCCCTCCCATCCATCTAGGACATTAGTCTCAGATGCTGTCTGAGCAAAGCAAATAAAATCACAAGAGACAAGTCACACTCACAATATGGACTGTTTACTCTGCTGACCTCTGTCAGGAGGTCACACAAGTCCAACTAAAGTTAAATTAAACATGTAAAAGTATAAAAAAAACATAACTGTGATGTCCTGAACAAACATAACATTTTAATACTTGAATGTCTAAAATTGTTGAAAGTACTGAAATAATCCAAGACTCGGAAGAAACCACAAATGGCAAAATGATAATGTGAACACTGATCAAGACAGGAGTGCTGTCAGCAGCATCTCACTGGGCTGCGACTGTTGAAGACTAGTTGCAAAATTGCAACAAAAAAAAATTAAAAAATTAGGCGAACGCAGTTTCAGTCAGAGTCTTTGCAGTCAGGGAGTTGACTTTTGAAAACTGTGACCTATTTTTGTGTGCAAAGCTTGCAAATCTGTATTCTTTACTGCACATTATTTCATTACCTCCACCCACATCCTACACACCAGGAGCCGCTTGGTACCCACCTTGACATTTATGTTTCTTCTTTAGAAACTAAAAGAGGCATGTTTGAACCAGTATTTAAATATTTATTCTTTTATTGCTGTCATAGTTTTTAGACCTGGACTTTTAGGATGATAACCTCAGATGTATTTTCAATTTTTATATATTTTTTTATTTTAGGAGAGCTTCTGCGCAAGTGTCAAAATAATACTTTAGTACTCTAGAAATGAGAAAACTAGACACCTATTTCTGAAAAAGTTTAAAAGTTGTGTAAAATCTAAATAAAAACGGAATGTAATGACTTGCAAATCTCATAAACAGATGTTTATGTTTCATTGTTATTCATTTGTGTTATGTTTCATTGTTTTCAGTTAATGAGGTTAATAAATTGTTAAAAGATCTAGATTCTAAAAACTCTGCATGCCCTGATGATCTTCCACCTTATTTCTTAAGGCTGGCTGCTCATATCATTGCAGAACCGGTGTCCCACATCTTTAACCTGTCTATAAGCCCAAACTCCATCCCAGACGCTTGGAAAACAGCCTTTGCTGAAGGGAGGTGACCCCACCTCACTGAACAACTATTGACCAAACTCTAAACTCTGCATTTTAGCCAAGGTTCTAGAAAAACTAATAAAATCTCAAATCAAAAATTACCTGGACTCATTTAACATCTTACCTCTCCATCAATCTGGTTTCAGGAAACGACACAGCACAACCACTGCTTCACTGAAGGTTGTTATTGACGTTGTTGAAGCACTAGATGCGAAGGATTATTGTGCTGCACTTTTCTTAGACCTGTCTAAAGATTCTGACACTGTGGATCAGAACATCTTGTGTCATAAACTCTCAGAAATCGGTTTCTCAGAACACACCATTGATTGGTTCTCTAACTATCTTTCAGATCGAAGGCAATGTCTTCAACATAATTGTACTTCTTCCATTTATCTAACTGTTCACCATGGTGTACCACAAGGCTCAGTCTTAGGACCCACCCTCTTCCCAATCTACGTGGGTAATGTAGGTCAGATTTGATTCAGTTTAGTTTGTTTATATAGCGCCAAGTCACAACAGAAGTCATCTCAGGGCACTGAACAAAACCATTCATATAAATACGTTAACACTATTTATCTGAGGAGCAGACTGCTTTGAATTTAACTCCATCGCAGAACTCTCATCTCATCAGAGCATCCCTGACGCGTCCTTACATTTCTATGCTGATGACACAGTTGTTTATTGTCAAACTAAAACGGACATGTTCCTGTTTTTTAGTTTTCTACATCGCTTTACAACCTAGCTGTTTTTGTTTCTTTTTTTTATATCATTTTCTTCCATTTATTTGTTCAATTTATACGTATTCTTTTATGACTGTCTACTGTTGTCATTATTCTTTATTTACAGTAAATCGGGTCTCTCTTGTAAATGAGTCTTCGGGGCTCAATGAGACTAACTGGGATACTAAATAAAAGTTGAATGAATGAAAAGAAAAATTAATAACAAAGTAGTTCAAACCCAAGTAATCATATCAAGCTGTCAATGCAAAAATGTTAGAAAACCTGATGCAGGATATTTCTTCAACAGTCCTGACTTGTTTTTACTGGATTTGTTTCATGAAGCGTCAAATATTTTCAGCTGGTGAGAGTTCTGGAGTGCAGGTCAGTTCAGCAGCTGGACTCTCCTACTCCAAAGCCAGTTTATTATAATGGATGCATTATGAGATTAAGCATCGTCTTGCAAAATATGTAAAATAGAAAAATAAACAAGGTTTTCCTTGAAAAAGCCATCATCTGAATGAGAGGATGTTCTAAAACAGGTTTATACTCTGCACTGATTGTGTCTTGCCAGATGTGAAAGCTACCCATATCATAGGCACTAATGCACCCCCATACCATCAGAGAGGCAGGCTTTTGCACTGTGCACTGATAATAGGCTGGATGGTCCCTCTCTTTTTTTTAGTGTTGAGAACGTGGTTTCCAAAGCATTCCAAAATTTGATTTGTAAAATCAAGGAAGAGCTTTGTCCCAGAGAAGATGGCAGCATTTCTGAATGCTGTTCTCATATGGCTGCTTCTTTGCATGATAGAGCTTGAACCAGAATTTGTAGATGGAAAGACGAACTGTGTTTACTAACTATTATTTCTGGAAGTGTTCCTGAGCCCTTGCAGTGATGTCACATACAGAATCAGACCTGTTGTGCACTAGTTACTCCTAAATATGCTGCAAAGTCTTAGTTAGAACATTTGATATGTTTACTGTGTGCCATTGTTAAAAAAAAAATAAAAATAGGATTTATGAGATTTTTAAATATTTGCACTCTGTTTGTAATTACATTTAAGAAAATGTCCCAGCATTGACTTAATTAGGGTTGAAATGTTCACAGTGGCAGGAAAATTGGACCCAGAATGCAGACTAGGAACAAACTAGGACCAGGTGAGAATGGGCGTGGCAGGCTGACTGAAAATCTACAGAGAAAGAAGAGACTAGTCCTCAAGAACCAAATCCTGAACCGTGAGCGGTAGATGAGTCTTGTCATCACAGCTCCAATACAATGGAAGTCAGGGAGAGTTTGAGTGTGAGTCCCTGCACTTTTAGGAAGTTTGAAAGCAAACGATGAGTCCTTGAGCAGTGAGAGGCACACTGGGTAAAAGTAGACAAAATGTTTGTTTCAGTGCATTTAAGTGTAAATACAGATTTAGTTCGCAAACCTTTTAAACAGCTTAAAAGTTAGATTGAGTAGCATCACACTGAGTTGAGCATGCTGTTATAAAATCTAGTGATATAAAAATTAAGAAAAAAGAAAAATTTGAATTAAATTAGAAAAAATAAATAGCAAATGGCATTTCCTGGTAAGTGCAGTGTGAATGCTTATTGCTGAATAATTTTTGCTGAAGAAGGTGAAACCAGGCTGAAAAGGTTTCATCACTAACTGTTAACGCGAGTGGCTTTGAGTAGCTGACATTTGCAGGGGAAAAGTGGCACGCATTAGAAACACTGCAGAAATTTGTAGAAAAAGCTGAACAAAGCAGAAAAGTACTAGTAGTTGAAATGAGCTGAATAAGCTGAAATATGAAGAGACAGATGAAATGAGAAAAAAATATCACTGAGAAAAAAAAATCGGATGAAATTAACAAAAAGCATAAAAGTAGAACATTTTAAAAAGCACAAAAGGCAGAAAAAAATGGCAGTAAAAAGCTAAAATTGGCAGAAAAGTATCTTAAAAAAATAAAAAGTAGCCATAAAAGCAGCATGAACCTGAATTTAGCAGAAAGAAGCTGCAAACAGCTGAACCAGTGACGTGCAGTGAGCTTTGTGACGGGTGAGACACAGACTGTCTGGAATCAGATGCTCACATATATGAACCAATAATAGAAGCTTATATTTCAGTCCAGCCTTTTTTTTTACTTCCTCTCTCTAATACGTTCTGTTTCGACTGAAGCTGAGAAACTGTCCAGATGACCTGACTGAAAATTGTATACCTGGATGATTGAGCATGGACTTCTTTGGTTTCTGACTGAAAATCTAGTTTAGAAAACTCCTTTAGTTTTGAGATATGACCTTCTATTTTGTCTAAACAAATTTAAACAAGTGTACCGTAACAGATTAGCTACACCCCCGCCCCTCTGCGTAACAGCTGAACACAGCGACTGCACCTGCTTCATTGTCCCTATGGGGCAGCAAGATACTTTCTGCCTCACCCTGCATATTGTCAGCGTGCATTTATGACCAATTAGAACGAAGAATATGTCACACATTCATTCAGTATAGAAGACAGACTGTAGAACATCAACATGTGCAGCACATGTGTAGTCAAACATGTATATTGGTGATATAAAGAGAGACGGCAATCTGCATGCAACAACTGCCTGCTTCATATATTGTATATGACACAGCGCCCCCGGAGGTGAACCAGAGCACTGCATGGCCTCACCCCGCGTTGTTTGAACAGACAACGTGTAATTTCTGCGATTTTGACCGTTGAGTTGTTGAAATAAATCAGAAAACAGTTTTATAGAACAGTCAAGTGGTCAAATGTGTTTTCTCTAATCACTGTTAGTATTTTACTTGTCATGATCACCGGTGCGGCGCTGCCTCCCCTGACTGTACGTCACTGAGCTGAACTCTAACAAAAGCTGAAAGGAACAGTAAAAGGTCTTAAACAGCACGAAGGGTTTGAAGGATGAAGAGCTCCGTTCGTTTTCAATGAGAAAAACATAAGCTAAACATGGCAAAAAGTAACTATTGCACAAATACCACAAGCCACAGCAGGAATGTCCTGAACGAGCTGAACATTTTGATTTCTGAACAGTTGAAATGGCACAATGTGAGTTTTAAGCTGAAAAACAAGACAAATAGCTCTGAAGAGCCGCTGTGTAAAAACTATAAAGACATTTAAACGACTGATGTTTCATTTGTAAAGTTTCTCTGAGCTTTAGAGCTCTGAAGATGGCTGGGATGTCTCACTCGTTTCACCAGAATCACTTCTTTCTCTCTAAGGTGAGGAAAGATGGAGATAAAGGAATATGAGATCCCCCCTCTGGAGCTCCCCAAGGTTCGATGCAGCCTGGGCTCCAGCTCGGGACTTCGCTACGGCTCTCTCGTGAACAGCGTTTCATCGCTCGCACCAGACGCAGCACAGAGAGGAGCCGTATCACCCAGACGTGCCTATTTAGCCATTGCTGTGCTCTGCTACATCAACTTGCTCAACTACATGGAGCGGTACACAATAGCAGGTTGATCTGGTGTTGGACTCTCTTCTTTGTTTCCTGCCTCCGATTTGTTCCCGCTGTTCTAAATGTCATCCTTGTTTCATGCAGGTGTTCTTTCTGACATTCAGAAATTCTTTCTTATTAGTGACAGTACAGCTGGACTTCTGCAAACAGGTAAGAGGATGGGTCCTTTTTATTACCATAGACACATGTTGCAAGTTAGCTTTAGGTAAATGTATCTAATTAGACAGATCTGCTAAATAGATTCAGCTCCATCATTTCTCAACGTTTGATCATCTTAGTCTAAAACTGTAGCATGGAAGGTGTTGGGTAATATGCATTCCTCCAAGAGATGTTTATTTATGTCAACTGGTTTCTCTAATGTTGGAAAAGTAACTGCACGTTGTTTCCAGTTTTCATCTGCAGTTTTTTACTTCTGGCTCCTCTCTTCGGTTACCTCGGGGATCGCTACAATCGCAAATACATCATGATCGGGGGTCTGAGCGTGTGGCTCCTGACCGCAGCCGGCAGCTCTTTCGTCAACGAGTCGGTAAGTGAGGAACAAATGATGCCGCAGTTAAAGACGCAAGAGATAAGAGCGAGGTCAAAGGGCGGCATTTCCTGTTTGTAGTTTGTTTTCCTTCCTCTGACATTCATCTTCATCATAATACTTTTTTACTTTGAATGACAACTCTATTGCGTTTAAATTCGTATAACGTGTAATTTGTTGGTTGTTGGGGCTCCAGATGTGCGATGCAAAGCTACAGTGGTAAAAATGTCCACGCAGGAAGAATTTGTTTAGGTCAGATGAAGTTTAAAATGTTCGTGTTTTCAGTGACTGCAGCCGTTAGGAGGCCTGGCAGGCCCAGAGGTGGAAACTTGAATTACGCTCCTACTTTTATAGGAGACCACATTTACGTGACACAAACATCAGATGGAGGGATGGAAAAATGATGAGTCTTGATCTGATCACCGTGATCAGCAGGAACTGATCACGGTGATCAGCAGGAACTGATCACTGGCCCACAGAGACTGCTCATGAGAACAGGCAGCGTCAGAGGTCTGTGGGCTCAAATTCCAGCCATAAATATTCTGCACGTGTAAAAAAGATTTGTTGACCTTCTAGAAAAAATTTATGTGAAAAAAAAAAAAATCACAAGTTACAAAACTTTTTTACGATGTTCAGTTTACAGATACGAATCCAAAAACTACGTGTACGAATTTTGCCCTGGATTTTATTCCTCTCAGCTGATTGTTCAGTGTCACGTGAATCACAAATTAAGGATCCGATGGGAGAACAGACGGGTTTGGCTGTAGACGCCTCGACGAGTGGACGACCAGTACGTTTTTGGGCATCTTTCTCGTTCTGTACTGTTGGCGCTGTTTCAACAAATCATTTATCAAAACGTTCAGCTCCTTCAGGAGAACGGTGCTATGACTTTTAGTATTGGTGAAACTTTAGCTTTTTAAAATATTTAACCTTTCCTGACATTTTTTTCTCATAGAAAATGAATTGAGCTCATTTTCCATCCTTCAGATCTTTAGATGTTTACAACCTTTTACTGCTCCTTTCACGTTTTGTTCTGCTTCAGCTTCTTTCAGCTTCCTGCTGCAAATTTAAACTTTTTTTTCCAACTACTTTCAGCTAATTTCAGATGTTTTTTCAGTTTTGTGCTCCTTTTAGATTCTTGTTGCTAACCACAAATTTTTTGTACTTCTTATAAATTATTTTTGCTAATTTCAGCTTATTTCTGCAAGTTTAATATTTTTGTGCTATTTCATAAACTATTTAGCTATTTTTATGCTAATTTTAGCTTTTTCAGCTAATCCCACTTTTATTGCATTTATTTAAACTTTTTTCAGCCTAATTCAGCAAAAATGTTCTCTCTCACTTCTGATAATTTAAGCTTCTTTCTGCCTTTTTAGCTACTTTTCAACAGTTTTTTGCTAATTTCAGCGTTTTTGAGATAATTTCCACTTTTTTGTGCTAATTTCTGCTTCTTTCAGCCTTATTGGTCAAATGTGTTCCTTCTGCTTTCCAATGCTAATTTAAACTGGTTCAACTAGCTTTTCAGCATATTTTAGCCCATTTCAGCTGTTTTCAGATAAATTCAAGTTTTTGTGGTGATGTATGCTACTTTCAGCCCAATTAAATTATTTCTGCTAATTTCAACATGTTATGCTCCTTTCATCTTATTTCTGCTAGTTTCAGTTATTTCATCTATTATTTAGCTGTTTTTATTCTAATATTGGCTTTTTCAGCTAATTCCACATTTTTTGCACTCATTTCAATTTTTGTGTTCTTTGTTTTTTTTCTGCTGATTTACGCTTATTCTTTGTTTTCAGCTACATCTCAGCATGTTTTTTTAGCTAATTTCAGCGTTTTTTCAGCAAGTTTTTCTACAATAGGCGTTCACGCTGCATTTTTGCAGGAAATGCAGTTTCTCTACTTCTGCTTGGTCCTCTGTTTGAGACATAAAGTAGGAGGAGTATGTATGAATTATCAGTTCAGAGTTTTGATCAATAGTGGATATTGATTGAAGGGATCTGGGTCAGAGCAGCACAGTGGAGCAGTTGATGGAGCTGTCGCCTCTCAGTGAGCAGGTCACCGGTTAGAATCCCGTCCGGGAATCTTGCCGGGTGGAGTTTGCATGTTCTCTCCGTGCAGTCCCAGATATTGCAACAAACGCACTAGGGTGTTGTGTCTGTATCTTAGCAACCTCGGAGCTGATGACATCACACGCAGTCTCTGCAACAGCATTGGGTGGAATGTAAACAGTTGCCAAAATAACACTGGTGTACTCTCTTGGCAAATAATATGGACGACAACTTAGTGCTAACAGTTCAATATCTGGACTGCAGAGTCGACACTTCACAGTAACATGACCAGGATTACACCATCTGTTGTTCACAAGCACTGCTAACCCACCTCCTTTCCTTTTGCCACTCCTCTTTAAATCTCTATCTGCTCGTATGGTCAGGAAGCCTGGCAAGGAAACGCTGGAGTCGGGGATATGAGCCTGCAGCCACGTCTCAGTGAAACACATAACACTGCATTCCAGATGAGTCCATGATTGTGCTTGAAGTTCATCCAACTTGTTTCCCAGCGATCTCGCATTGCCCATCATGATCGATGGAAGAGATGGTTTAAACTTCACTCTTCTCTCTTTCTCCCTCTTCTTTGCTCCTGCTCTGCATCCACGACGCCTCCTTTTCAACTCATTTGGGATTTGAGGCTGTAGTTGAGATATTATTTGAGCTTTGGAGATGTTAATCAGCTGCTCCCGGTTGTAAAAAAACCTTGTTGTTATGGTTACGCATCATAACAAATGTCCAAAAGTAAAGATATTTCTGTAAAAATCCTTCCAGCTGCACAGCATCCGACACCAGAGGAAATAATCATCCAAAAAAAGCGATTTATATCCAGAAAAAAGAGGAATTAAAGTTTTCAAAAGTAATATCTCAGAATGAAAGTAACAGAGCTGCTCCAACATGCAGCCACCTTGAGCGGCGCAATTCTAGAACACGAGTCAATGTTATTATTATTATTAAACAATATTATCATTTGTAATTACCTTTTTCAAACTCTCAAGTTTATATTTGTTTATTTAGTAGCATTGTCTTTAACTCTATGACTTTGGTCAAAAGCATTATTCCACAAAGTATTGTTCCACAAACTTCACATAGTAGAATGCTGGAGTTTTGTCCCAGTTTATACTGATGTACCTCGTGTAACTGAATAAGTTTTGTAGGCTGCCTTGTTCACAAACACCTTTTCAGCTGTAACCACAAATTTTTATTAGATTCAGATCAGAACTTTGTGCCGACCATTCCAAAACATTGACTTTGGTATACTTACTTTTGTAACTAATTTGGCAGCATCATTAGAGTAACAGTCCAATTGAATAACTTCATAAATAAGTGAGATGCTGACATCCACTTTAATGTGCTGCTGCATCTCGGCGTAAGAAAGGTCGTTATCAAAAATTAGCTTGTCAAGTCAAAATCTAGAATTGCTAGAAT